TCTCAGTTTTAACTTTAAATTTTGAGTTTTATGTTATCCCAAAAAGTGTTCGGAGACTTTTGGTGACCCTCTGTATAATTGTAATATTTATTATTATATAAAATTAATTTATTAGATTAATTTTCATTTTAAATAAAAAAATTTAGAGTCATGTGACTAGTGATTTTTATCACTGATAAGCATTAAAATTATCTTAATTTAAAAATGTTTTTAGTTAAATTAATTAAAAAATTGAAATAAATTAAAATTTTTTATTAATTTATTTGAAATATTTATAAACTAAAAAATAAGTTATTTTTAAAGAGAAGTTGATTATTAAAATATTTGTAATTTCTTTTATAATATTGTAAAGAACTATAATTTATATTTATTAAAAAGTTAATTTTTTTAGTTTTTATAAGATAAGATATATATTTTTTAATCAAACTAATTATTTTTATTTTTTTTTGATAAATTTTCATTCTAATTTTTATTTTCTTCATTTTCTTAATAATAAAAAAAATTGAATATATCATTTATTTATTAATTGAAATTAAAATAAAAATATATAAATAACAGAATTTTTATTTTTACTTTTATATATAATTTAGATTTTATTGTTAAAATTCACAAAATGTTTTTCATACTTGATTAAACCTATTTCTAATTTTTTTAGTAGCAAAAATTCTTAAGATATTAGCTAAAATATCACAAATAGATTTTTTTTAATATTAACATAAATGCATCAATTGTAAAAGTAAAATAATATTTAAGCACCCCTACATTTTAAGGGATATTATTTTTTATAGTTTTTTTTTAGAAGTTGAACCAATAAAATAACCAAAGATTTGAATTTAATCTTACAAAATTTTCCTGCGGTTTCAATAAAACTATAAAAAAAAACTTAACCATTTAAGGGATGACAAAAAATCGAGAAACCGGTTATTTTCAAGAAAGGAATATTTCAAATTATGAATTAAAAATTTTAGGGAGTTTCAATACAAATAAGGAATTCATTTGAAATTTTTCGAACCGTTTCAAACCCCAATAAGAAGGTCCCTTTTTTCATAGATTGGCGTAAGTGACAAAATATTTTGTCGCAGGTGACATGATCCTTATTTATTTTCACTATTTAAAAGAAAATTAACAATTTATTCTCTGCAAAAGAAGAATGAAAATTTTCTTTCATTCCAAATTTTTTTTTTTTTTTTTTTCTTTTTTCACCGAGGTCATAAATTTCATGACTACTATTATTTTCCAATCAAATAGGCAATTCTAATATCAAAATTCCTTGATGAATTTACGACAGATATGTTATTTAACCCCAAAATTTTTAAGCATACCACTTTTTGCGTTTCTTTGCAATGCAGTTCCTCTAAATACCACTTTTGATGTCGAATACGATTATTCACTGGATGGCTTACACGCAGCTTATAACAACGTCGAAATTTATTTCATGTATACTTTTGATCTTGGAATACTTCTACTTGGAAGTTTGTGTACTTTGTATGTGATCATTCGAACGTTTGCCTACTGGATAAAGCATAACCGTTCTCTTCATATGTCGCATAAATTGCCTTTTTACATGGCATTATCCGGTAAATTTTTTACTTTTATTTTTTTTTTTAAAAAAAAAAAAAAAATCGAATTCGTAGTTATTTTATTAAATTATAAATTTTATATATAACTTTAGATTTTTTTATCTATGCAGTTTTAACTGTTGACTTGGTAAAGTAATGACTATCTATTTATATATGTTTATTTAAATCTCTTTTTTTTTTTAAAAAAAAAAATATTTATGTATGTTATGTATGTATGTATGCGTATGTAGTATTACCCTGCTGTAAACGATAAACTTTGGCCCGGGAAATCGTGTAATATAATAGGACTGAGTTTTTACTACTTTGCACTTTTCAATATGCTTTTAGTTGGTTCACTTGCTTTAGTCAGTTATCTACGAGGTAAATAAATCTAAACTTTTTTTTTTTGCATAATCTTTAATATTAATTTTAAAATTCTTTTTTGATATGTAAATATTTATAAAGTGTGCAAAGCAATGATTCTTAATACCGGAATATTTGATTATAGAATATTTCTCTTTCCCGCATTTTTACCGGCTCTTTTATCTATACCAGTATGTTCATTCAAGTCATGATTATTATTAAAAGAGGGATAAATTGGTAAATGAGTTTTCAAACAAAATTTTATAGGCGTGGCCATCATTTGGAGGTGATGGTTATTGGTGTTTTCAAAACAGGGAATCAGCATTTATTCCTTTATCTTTACTTTATGCGGATATTTTGATATTGATGACATCATTATTTTGTTATATTGGAATAGTGCATGCTATCAATGTGTCCCGGTTTAGAAATGACCAAGAAAATTTTTGTACAGCAAACAAAAAAATCATTGGGTACCTTTTTACGTATATTTTGCAGTGGGTAAGTGCTACTTTGATCCATCGTGTAACATTTTGTCTTATGCTAATATTATTAAAACATTTACAGACTCCTGTTATGATCTATATAATAACTGATATTGAACGTCAAGCGAATATGTGGGTATTTGCAATCTGTATTACATCATTACCAATAGGAGGAATACTTAAAACGTACCAATATATATCCAATGAGGGTTGGTGGAGCGTTGATTCGATTGATGAACGGAGACATATTACCAACTAATCAAATAACTTCAATTGATTACGGAAGTGCACCAATAATAAGTCAGTGGCGGGAATTATCAGAAGAACTCTCAAATGATAATCGATCTCAGCAAATTATATCTGACGAGCAGAATCATGATCAAATTCAAGTTCAATTGCAAGATCATTCACAAGATAAAATTCAATCTAAATCGTTATCAGGAGAATCACACTCACAACAGAATTCTCAATCATACTCACCATCCTCACGTAATCAATCAAAAGATAAAGTTCAACTTCAAACATTATATCAGAATCACAAAACCAATCAAAAGATAAAGAATGACCTCAATCATCATTAGAGAATGTAACTCACAAGATAAAGAATCAACCAATCACTTTCTACATTCTCAAAAATAGAAAGCGTAAAAGATTCTGTAACTGTATATATTAATTATAATTTGCTTGTTTTCAATTATAACAATTATTTATTTTTTTTTATATAAAACACTATTTATTAATATTATTTGAGATTTTTGCGGTTTCAGTGTATAGGTTAATTATTCTTAGTGTAACAATAATCATCATTAGTACAATTCTTTTTTTTTTTATAATAGACGCAGATGGACATTAGTATAATTAGTTACTATTTTAATTTAACAATCAAAGGAAATTATCCGTAATAATAGTAATAACGAAAATGGATGATGAAATTGAACACGTTGCGCCGGAAGGAGCGTATAAAGAAAAATCCATCAAGGGTAATTATTTTAAAAATAAAAATAAAAAATAAAAAAATATTTTTTTTCTTCTTTTTTTTATGATGTTAATGTTATCGTATCTTTCAATAGAATTCACGAGAAATTGATCAACAATATTTTATTTCTGGTACATTTGAAATTTCTTTTATTTGCCAATTTGACTTTTGGATTAGTAGAGAATATGTATGAATATTTAATAAATTCAAAAACCTTAATGTGAATTATATTTCTGTATTTTTTTTAATGTGGTGTATTATTCAATATCCTTTAACATTATGCGTAACTTTCATTGCATGTTGCATTACAAATTTGGAAATGATCTTATAAATCGAAACCGGAATTATAAATTCTGAAACACCTCTAAAAAATTTTTGTGACACGTACAAAAAAATCATTGTTTAATTTATTAATATTATTTGTTCGTTTTACTGGTTCATCTAATTGTCTAATTACAAGTTGATAATCTCTTCACTCCCTCTCTTTATTTTTAAATCAATTATCAATTTGAGAAAATATGTAAATTGTATATAATAACGAGCGTTATAAACATAAAGTATCCGGAATAAAATAGTGGCCGCAGCGCTTATTTCTTCCATATGTGAAAAGAAAAAAAAAAAAAAAAAATTGTAAAAATGACCATATACTGTATAATATATTTATCTGTATCTGTAATTGTATTTACACTGCGGCCGTTGTTTGATGCATTTGAAAAAATATTATAGATATAATTATATGAAATAATTATCATTATCAATAAAAAGCGATTGTTTTTTCGGATAAAATGAAAGAAAAAATAATAGATTTTTCATTATACGCTATCTTGTATTGATTCATATTGATTGATCGAACTTTTTGTGGCGTTTGGAATGGTAGTTAGACCTATTTGAACTTGAACGGTATTAGCAGAATTATCAGAGATAACCTCCGTCACTTCCTTTTTTGTCCACCAGCCCTCGTTACAGATGTATCTATAGGCGTTAAGCATTCCGCCCAATGGTAAAGAGATGAAACATATTACATATCCCCACATTTGTCTAACAAACGAAAGGAATTGTTAGTAGAAGGACAAAAATCAATATATATATATTTTTTTAACTTACGTATGTTGATAATTATCGGCAATGACGTATACCATGACTGGTGTCCATTGTATAATATAAATGAATAAATAACCAACCTAAAGTATTTAAAAAGATTAATCAAAGGAAAAGAAGAGAAATTAATCGAAAAAAAAAAGGGTGAAATAAATTACTATTTTTTTGTATGCGTGTAAAAATACTTCGGAATCGGTGGTTCTTCTTGCCACATTAATCTTATATGTTATACCAATATAACAGATTAAAGAAGTTGACAGAACAACAATAGCGATATACAGTAAAGACAAAGGAATGAACGATGAAGTTCGATTTGTATAACACCAATACCCGTCAGATCCAAAATGCCGCCAAGCCTTTGAAAAAAAAACATTTTTTTTTTTTTCATCAATCTACGATACGTATGCATATATTTATATAGAATTGAATAAACGTACCGGTGCAGTTATTACAGCAGGTAAAACAATCGGTAATAAAAATAATTTGTAATCCAACCACCCTAATTCGTAATATACAGTCCTGCACACTCTGAAATAGCTAAGAACGGATAAAGAGCCCACAAGAAACATGTTGCTAATGGAAAAGTAATAGAAGCTAGCAGCAACAAGCTTACAGGAATAATCATCCCAGAGCTGTTTATTTACTAAAGTAAAAGTTGATCGAATATTTCAATAAATTGAAAATTTAATTTAAAGACCATTAATGAATGTACGAAATGTTCGTTTTACCTGCTGGATAATACTTTATAATTGCAAGCATTGCAAACAAAAGGACAAGGAAGGAAGAAAATTCGAATCATTACAATAAATTTGAAGGTTCTTAAGTTATATATGAATGAATACGATTTCCAATATCTTTTAAAAAATATTTACCAAATTTATCGTCAAGACAATGTAGATGGCTAAATCTTTAAAAAAAAAAAAAAAAAAAAAAAGTTGAGGATTAATTTTGATTTTTTTATTTTGAAATTCTACATTTATTTCGACATCCTTACCCGATAATGCCACATAAAAAGGCAATTTATGTGCCATGTTTAATGACGAACCTAATCGCCTCCATCTTAATAAGGTACGGATTATGACATAGAGCGAACACAAACTTCCAAATTGTAGAGTAAGTAGACTTATACTGTACATAATGTAAATTGCGATCATGCTATTCTCCCGTTGGACATGATCAAATCCAATATCTTCATTAACACCAGTTGATGTATCAGCAGGAGAAGCATAATTGTAATTTATGAATGTAAATATTAAAATTAAATATAACAGATCCCTCGAAGAAGTCAACTTTGGTAAAAGGATAACCATCATTAACATTAATTTTGCTCTTCGGTAAATAATTTAATGAATATATAAAAAAAGAGTCGACCTGCGAAAAGTTGTTATGTTAGTCATGGAATATTAGAAAGAAAGGGAAAGTAATTAGGGTAAATGAAACCGAGGGAAGGGGAAAAGTAGCGGGATGATATATGATATACGAAAGACCTACTTCAATTAACTATTTATAAGAAACAAAGTTCAGAAAAAAATTGATTTTCATGAAAGATATTCATTACTATTTTATAGATGGAACACAGAAATGTTTGTTTGGAATTCGAAATTTTATCCAATGAAATCTTTAATTTATGGCACGAAGAAATTTCATTAATTTTAATTAACGGAAAAACTTTACCGATTAGATTTTCGTTTGTCAAACACGATAACCAGTTATTACGTAACCAAATAATCGTTATTCGGAAATAAATTTGAAATAACTTACCAGAAAGGGTAAAATTGATTTGTAAACAGTTATATTTGCATGTCACAAATCAAAATGCATGGATGGGTCTTCGATTTCAAATAACTGCATAAGATGTCGCACTAATCATACGAATTTTCAATTTACATCCCCCTCGTTTCTAACCTTTTGTTGGGATATTACCCTTTCTCATCCATAACGTGGTACGTGAAATACAAACGCGACAATTATTAAAATAAATAATTAATATCCTTAATTGTAAAAGGTTTTTGTAAAAACAAATCTCATCTGTCCAGTACAAATTATTAATACGATCCCAATTCCGTTCATCGTTTATCAATAACAAATTGTTTTTTCAAATGTTCCTCGAATAAGTTTATTAAGGGACGCAATTCCTCATTTCTAACTAAAAATTCATTCAACTTGGAGGGGATTTGACCGGTTATGGTCGAAACAAAAGCAAATTTTTCCGAGAAAAGGTTTCACAACGTCGCAAGCGGTGATGCCATCCGAATCGCATTATTATAAAACCGAAACTGTCATTTGAAGAATCACTTTCCGTCAAAAATGTGTACTACTATAGGAAAAATTATAAGGAATTGTTTATTTACACAAACAATTTGATCACAGTTTAAATAACAAACACCGACGATATGGGAAGCGCAGTCATGATTATATTCATTGACCTAGGTTAAGTTTGCGAAATGTTTCACAAAATCACAAGATCATATGTCGCTTAATCAGTGCTCTGTGCTCTTGTAATGGTGACTTGAGCCCCTGACCCTGAATTCAAGGTAAAATTTTTCTAAGATATTAAGCGCAATAAACCAATGAAAGTGGAATAGTAATTTTTGAAAGAATAGATTTGATGTTTATAAGTTTTTATTCTCGTCATTGTGTATTATGCTTGACGGTTCAGGATTCCGTCATGGGTTAAAGGGTGATCATTTGGTGTTCATTTTTGAACCAATAAAAATGCGATGTTGTACATATTTGCACGCTTTTTCTAGAAGAATTCGGACGCGAGATTTTCGCCGCGTTTTTCTTTTCTCTTCTTTCCTTTTTTATATTTTTTTAAAAAAACATTTACTACAATTTCTCTTTTCAAATCACAAGCGTTTTCTTTCATTCTATCTTTTATTCTTAATCATATTTAGTAAGAATTGATTTACACAGATTATTCCGATACCATTAAAATTCAATGAAGATAATTAACAATCATGCAATAAATTAATAATATCATTTAAAAATTATTCTCGATCGCGCAAATCATAAACGGACTTAAAATTTTAACATCTCCTCAAAATTATATTGATTAATTGCTTGCATTCTGTTTTTCATTTACGGCAAGTTTAAAAAAAAAGAGAAGAAATCTTACATGAGATATGATTTGTTTCGCAAGTTTCACAATCTATACATGGATAATCATGAAACCAATGTTTTCAAGCAATTATCTCTCAATTAGCGGTCTATTTCCTTTTACGCTTGATTACTAGAGAGCAAAAACAATTTCCGACAAGCAATGTAACAAAAAGAACATTAGTTCAATAAGGTGTATTAAGTTATATTATATTTTAGCTTACATGCTTAAATTTTCATATTAAAGTTTAAGGTTTGCATAGCAAAATTAATTTAAATTCTAAATTAACATCATTCATTTCACGGGGAAATATTGAGTGGGAATTCAATAGGAAATGTAAAAAAAGAAATGATTGTGATTCGTATCACAGAGATAAATTTATCAACCTGTTATCTTTTAAGTACATTTTTGATTCATTAACGTCATATCACAAATAAAGTATTTATGGTAATCTAGCAAACCAAAAATAGAAAATCAAAAACTATTCATTCATATATGCAAGAGCAAAGATCACTATGATCGTAAGATCTCGAGTTATCATAATAAATGACCAAAAAAATGATGTTCAATGAGATGTTGATAAAGCAACTGCGTGCAATAAAATCGACCTCGAGGTCATTGGTCTCTCTATGGTGACGATCCTGCTATAAACCTTTACTGCGCCTTAAAAAGTTCACGAAACGTTTTATCATCATTATCATGAAATATTTATGTCACCAAGATAACATCTATATAAATGCATGCGGGACAGGGTAGGTTTTGTAAAATGTGATAAAAGCGCGATATGTTTTACAATGATCTAATTTTATTGTCATTTTCTTCATACTAAATCACATAACCCTTTATTTATACATACAATACTCCTCTTAAAATTATTTAAATTTAGAGCAGAAAATAGGAAAAGTAAAATAAAGACTTTTGAACTTTTTCCTACCTTATTAAATCCGACAATTCGAAAAGGCAGGTTCGCAAAGATTTATGATTCAAAAAGGAAGAGTTCCTTTTGTATTTTAAAACCGAATCGGTTTGCAATCTCCTAAAATTGAAAAATCAATTAATGTTATGCAAGTAAAATATTAAAGTAATCGGAAAGCTATACCCGCTAATAATGTCAAGTGATTTTTTTTTTTTTTCTTTTTTTTCTCTGCTAATGCAATGTTCGCCGATAGTTCCGATCAAATTGTTATCTGTAATTCATTCATGTTACGCTAATCGGACTTAATTTAATATAGACACGAAATAATTTTTTTTTTTTACCTTCTTTTCATATTAAACTTACTTCTTTTTCTAAGCCCGCTTTGGACAACAAAGGAATGATGTCACGTGTATTGTTCTACGTGGCTTATCGACCGAAGTGGATATAAAAAGGTTTTACATACTTTTTGTAATTAAACATTGTTGTTGCAATAATATTGTATAATTTAAAGTTGCTTATAATTAATTTTACAGATTTAGTTACAAACAATATTATACAGAACATCTGAACTTATATGATATTCTAATTTAGGAAAGCAATATTTAACAAACATCTTTCGGAGATTGCTTTTGTTCAAGATACTTTCCGAATCAATTATATAAACGCATCATTCCCTCTTGCTTTTTTTTTTTCTCTCAACCCATTCGAGTTCAAAAAATAACAAAAAAATAACGTTAAAAATCGATCCTTCTTTCAAAAAAAAAAAAAAAAATATGGAATCAAATTCACAATCTTTAAATACTCGTTCACGACCCAAAATAATCGTTTCGTCTCCTCGTATGTTGAATTTGAATCCAGAAGATTTTATGCCTAGGAAGTCTAGAGGCTGTAAACCTTCAAATGCGTTTATAATATATCGCAAAATATATGTTAAAACGCTTTTGGCGGAAGAATTGCACTACAAGATGACGGAAGCTTCGCGATGGGCTTCGGAATCTTGGAGCATTGAAAGAGAAGAGTTAAAGGACGAATATCGAGAGTTTGCAAAGAAAGTAAGCAAGATCTACCGCAAGAGGGCCCAAGATTTGGACGCTTCGCGTGTTCCTCCCACCATTTTGCCATTGCAACCGAATAGATCATCTAATGATATTACTGCAACGAGTGATAATATTGTCGAAAGCGATCCATCTCAATACCCAAATCAAACCCTTCCTTATCCTATGGAGACACCAAAACTATCCTTTGACGCGCCTTATCAAGAACAACCCCCAATTTTACCAAGCTTTCACGAAACTCCATTAATTCGACATGACATTTACTTCACATCTCCATTTACGCAATGTGAGGTTTGTAATTTTCCGTTTGAATGCATTTGTACGGGAGCGGAAGGAAATGATGACACAACGCAAGATGTCCCCGCCTACAATTGGCAGGGCATATATGATGGCAATATCGATATGAATATGGACGACTTTTAAAGATGCCGTTTTTTTTGCTTTAACAGTAAAGATGTATATTTTTTTTATGTTATCGGTTATAAATTTTATTTTATTATTATCAAAAAAAAAAAATATATAAATTCATAAATAACCAAAAAAAAAAAAATTTCCTTTTTCTTAATTCTTATTGGACTTCGCTTGACAAAACGAAATCGTTATCTATTTTTATTCATTTTATGTATGTATAAGTACTGGTTCGCAAAGCCAATACAATTCACTTCTTAATTTCTTTTAATTTACGATT